GAAAATTTTGCCTGATCACACTCTTTGGTTTTCATTAAAATATACTGTACTAAAGAATAAATTGGTTTGAGATCAATTTTAGCTTTAGATTACACTAAGAATTTCCAAGGATTTGGTGACACAACTGCTTTAAATCAATCCCCTTGTCACAAAAAAAATTTGGTTGGGATGGATGATTTCACTTAAATTGAATGCAATTTTAAAAAGTATTTGAAAATATAATTTATTATACTTTATGTCAAAATGCCAGTTTTTGATTGGTTAATACGATTGGATAATTGACTCCATCCCATGGTCAATACTCTAATACCCTTAACTTAGATGCTTGATCATTTGTGAATTTGAAACTTAATAGACACTAGTGACAGAACATTCAGTATAATAAATTAAATAACACATAAACATTTTTTGTTAAAAACATTTAGATGTGAATCTAAAAATCAATTAAGTTTTTGTTAATCCTGAATTTAACTAAAAACTGATGCATCTTTAGTGATTTTAAGCTAATCTTTGCTACTTTTCAAATGTTTAGAATAATATAGATAGCAAATCCGATCAGAATCTCAAAAAATCCATTTTATTTGAACTAATTTATATGATTCTCCAATTCAAAATGCAGTGCAAAAGAAGATGCATCTTTTTATACAAGTAGTTAGTTCCACATTAATCTTTATTACTTTTCAATTTCTAAAAGTGCATCATAAAAGTAAATTCAAAGCAAAAAGATGAAGTGCTATTATAACTTCCTCCTAACATAATTACGAAATTGATTTCTCTGCAGTATCCATATAAAACCAGTAATTGCTATGTACAGATTTATTATATACAATGGACATTTGTAAACAAATACAGCAATACTAAAATGTAATTACAAGCTTTGACCAATACACTGTATATAACTATTCAGAAATTATTAATTAGCAATAAAGTCTATTTCACTATTTATTCGGAAAGAGGTCAATATTTTTCCAAGCCTATATTGGCCACAAGGCAAAGGTGAGGTAAATACAACTAGCCATGAATGAAATTCCTTGCTGATGATTAATTAATGACTGACCTTAAAATAATTGCCATAACAGTTCAATAATCAGATTCATTGGAAATTATTCTCTGATAATGTTCAAAGCACACAAAATTTCATCACAAAAATGAAACATCTATCATCACAGATGTTGATAGCCTAATGTAATACATGGGTATATGTCAAAGGGACAACAACTCAACAACACAAAAAAACTGAGAAAGGTCAACAAACAGTCTTTCATTGTGACGTCCATTTTCATTGAACTAGTACACATTTTGTTTAGGGGCCAGCTGAAGCCTGCCTCCGGGTGTGGGATTTTCTCGCTGTGTTGAAGAACCATTGATGGACGTCGGCTGTTTTCTGCTGTTTGGTCAGGTTGTTGTCTCTTTGACACATTCCCAATTTCCATTCTAAATTTTATTTCAACTGATTTTTATAGTTTTTCTTATGTTGTGCTGTTACACCATTGTCTCAGGTTAGGAGACGGTTGAGCGCTCACAAACATGTTTAACCCCGCCACATTCTTTATGTACCTGTCCCAAGTCAGGAGCCTGTAGTTAAATGGTTGTCGTTGGTTCATCCGATGTCTGATGTTTTGGTGGATAGTTGTCTCATTGGTAATCATACCACATCTCCTTATTTTTATATTCTACATGTACAAAATGCCAAGATCAAATTGTTGAGTCTAAAAAAATTTGTAAATTCATTGTAAAATAAAACTCTCAAGGACCTGCCATTTACACCAAACATGTAAGCTATATTTTTTTTTATTTTAGCTACTATGGAATCAGCCAGTGAATCACTCAACATCAGTCAAAGTGTTTTTATTCTCACTAAATCATCTTGTGTGTACTACACATGTGGAGGCTTCTGATAAGCAATGTGGGTGCTTAGCTATTATTGAAGGTTATGTGATAATGACCTCCAAATGTTTTGGTTAAAATGCTTTCTTGTGTTGATTCATTTTGTGCAATAAAATGGTACATTTTCACAATGGGCTTAGGTGTACTTTCATTAATTTCACAATAAATATTAAATCCTAAAAATATCCCTTTTTTTATTTTTTATTTTTTATCAAGAAGAACCAGATAAGGACTACAAAAATCAAAAATGTGAAAACTAAACCTTGCAAATAGCTTTTGCCCAAGAAATTGCAGATTTTCAAAACTCCAGTAAAAAGGCCATTTAACAGTATCGTTTACAAAGATCTCCTTCAAATGTATTCCCCTAACATAATAACAAGTACAATGGTTGCTGCAGGTACAAGAAAAACATGATGATTAAAAAAGGTAATCTATACTGACAACTGTGGGACACCTTGTACACTGAATAGAATCCAATAAAAGTTAATCACATCTTGTTGTAAGTATTAATACAACTGTATAAGGTTACAATGAAGTAATCATTTACATATGCAACAATGTTAGCCTTTTTGGGTATTGCGTTTTCAACTCCGTTGAAAAAACTGTCAAATTCTGAATTTTCAACACCTTTGGGTGCGAATAAAACTGCAAAAATCATATGGTGCTGCAGCTTTTACGATAGAAAAATGGCATTTTTTAAGGGTACTAGATAGTTCCAGAATTTTCGAAATAGTATGATTGAAGAATACCCCTTGCTTAATATTGTACAGAAAATTTTGCTCATCACAAAGAGTTTCCTCCAAATTTCTCGCTATTTCTACACTAATAGCCAGCATTCTGATTACTTCAATTATCTTTTCTAATTAATAGGGCAGCAGAAAATAAATTTACTTCTATCTACTATCTAGGATGTAAAAAAACAAGGTGGCACCTGTCATCTTTATTTACTTCCTTTTAACCATATTAAACATCACTTCTTGGATCAAAATAGACCTTCAGTGTCTTTATTAAAAACATTAATTACTCTGTATTTTTACTTAATTACAAAATGTGTTTTTCTGGCATATTTCATAGGATGCCAAAGTGAATAGATATGAAATGACCTTTATTTACGTCAGATTTCAAATTAGGAATAGCTGCATATGGCTTTATAATTCTATTCAAGAACTAACCTATGTCAAGCTTATTACAAACTTCATTACTTCTTTAACATGGTAAACTCATAAAGACAGCAGATGGCAAAGATCAATTTTAAGGCCTGACTGAATATCACTTATAGACCACTATTGTCTGTTTAAAAATATTTTCATAAGATTGGCATAAAATTTTCATCATTTTAGTCAGAAATATTTGTTGTTTTTGATGATAGTTACATAGTTTTGCTAAATTCAATTCTACTTTTTCACATGAACTTCATTTTTTCAGTTATAAGTTAATACATATTAATAAAACTGGTCAGGGTTTTCTTTTGAGATAAGGTTACATTTAATATATATTAAAGTAATATTGTGATACAATGTATGAAAATCAAAATTTGAAATCAGTAATAAACTCTTGAAAATCAAAATTTCATAAATATGACAGTAAGCATAAGAAACTACAGATATTTCAGAGTTTATTAGTGAAAATTTCATGAAAATAGAGGAAGATATGAGCTCAAAATATTTTTTTCTAAAATATCATTGATATATATGAAACATACAAAAATGTTTATATGGAAAAAATAAAAAAAGAAATGATTTTGGTCAACATATGGTATGTATTAGATATATTTGTACATTTAATAAGGTGTTAGCCCAATCGGGTGTATCTTATTTACACCATGTAGGAGGAGGGAGGGGGGTCTTTCAGCAATTTGACCTTATTCTATGATAGAACATGCAGGATTGCCAATTTCGTGTATTTTAATGGTATCATGGTGTTTATGTATATGCTGCTACCAACACTGTATAAATGCAAGTTTCTCTTATGATTAAGTTCACATAAGATTCGTTAATCAAATTAATTAAATAATTTCTCATTCTACTGTTAATTGTCATATCTTTATTGTTAATAGCACCCTCCATAAAACATATGAAAGGAATAATTACATTAGCATGTACAAGATACATGACTGATGAGTAGTAACATGTGTGTCATTATCTGTATATGCCCCTGTGTATTGGGGAAAATAAGATAATCTGTAAAGAAGCAGACAGAAAATATGCTAACAAGATTTTAATGTTGTTTGAAAAGTAATTTAAGACAAACCTCAGAATTTGTCCCATTAGGAAAAAATCTAAGTGTGATTTGAGAAAATATTATTGCTATCTTGGTAATTAAATGCTTTTCCTTCTTTTTTTGCACATTTGTAACTTGTATGAACATGTATACGCATGTCCAGGGAACATTTCATTACAGTTATAAATATACTCCCATGATTGATTGTTGGTTGCTTAACATCCAGTAGCAAATATTTCATGCATGTTCAGGACGATATACTCCCATGACAGTGGCGGATCCAGAAATTTTCATAAGGGGACCAACTGACTGCATAAGAGGAGGCCCGCTCCAGTCATGCTTCAATGATTCCCTAAATAATCAACCAAACTTTTCCCTGGAAAACCCTCTAAATCCGCCTCTGCATGAAACTAAGGTTACAAAATTTGTTGAATAGGACAGAGTAGGAAAAAGTCTAATTCTAATCTGAATTTATGTGCTTTCTTTAGAGGAAGGCTTAAGAAAAAGAATAGGATACATTATGCATCATGAATAACCTGAGACTCCTAAAACAGGATTCTCAGATATAAAGCCTTATGAATGGACCAAGCATATTCTGTAGAGTAATACTCAAATATATTAGTTAATTAAAAATGAAAAAAGTCTAGTTTTTAAATAAGTATCAAGAATAAATTTTCAAAATCAATTTCAAATTGGAATCTGTTTATTTTTTCTCTTGTAGGAGCTACATTATAAACAGAACTTGTTATTTTCATATATTTTATATCTTACAGAACATGTAATATTGATGGCTGCTACTCTATAGGTGTAATTATTGATTTCTATTGGTTTGTTTTATATCAATCTGTCAACTTTATTTTATGTATTACACACATAATAGAATAAGTACCCACCGTTCGTAAAAATGAAATATCGTCCTGCTCTGAACCCCCTTCAGCAGTATCCGCCATATTGCACGTTCAGATATCAATCATTCAACACCGGTACTTTCCTTTCATCTAATATTTTAAACCCTCCAGAAGAATAATTCCATCCCTCCGGTTATTTCCTGAATCTATCGAATAAACAAAGCATCGAAAATTTCTTTAGATCCGAGGGGGTCACAAGAACAGCAGTGTATCCAGACAAGCACTTCTGATGTGTATCTTATGTGCTATGATCTATAAATAACCTGACGGGATATTTGCCTCAGCAGCCGATCACAGGTAACTTGATACCTATGGTGTGTTTAGTAAATATTAATGATTTCATTGTTTGTATAATGTGCTACACATGTTTAATCAGAGTCAACTGGTTTATTTAGAAGGTATACAACAATGGATTTTTGCTGCAATTGATCCGCGATGTGTAAGAATAAAATTCAATGTCACAATTACATAAACATTTACCATTTAATTAATTATTGAGAATTTTTTCGATTTTTTAGGTTTCTCTTCCATGACATGTTACCATTTATTGTAAAAATTGTTTTAGCAAATAGATCTTGCCTGCTGTCTATTATTTTTAATCTTGACTTATTTCAAAGCATACGATTAATTTTATTTGTTTTTCAGAACACCATGATCAGAGTGTATTCCATTTTTATTAACAGTTCGTATGGACTTACATATACTGTTTCTGTGTAATTAGAAACATTTAATACATTTATATTCATTGTAATATGTCTCTGGCGTACTATGTAAAATAATTCCATCCCTTCGGTTATTTCTAAAAAAAATAATTTTGTGCATGAGTGTGTGGGTGTGTGTTTCTACGTCTTTCGCATCAAATAACATGTTATCCACCGATCCATATAATCTTACAATAATTTTATTTCACATGCCCTTATTTTCAACACCACTGTGTGGAAAACAAGAACTAAGTGCTCTTCAACTTCGTACTTTAATTGGCATTTTAACTTTTTTGATTCGAGCGACACTGGTCAGAGATAGACGAAACGCGCGTCTGGCGTACACAATTTTAGGCCTAGGGCCACATCAATGAAAGTATCCTAGGATATGTCATAAGATTTGTCTTGAGACTTTATTTATGATAGTCTTGTGACGTGTCTGAGACATGTCTTAGGATGTTAAACAATTAAAGCTAACGTAACGAGGGGCGTAAAAAGTGGGGGAGGGGTATCTGCACGGAAGAACGCGAAATAAAATTGCCATTTCACTATGAACGAACAATTAAAAATTTCTTGCACGTTGATCTTTTTTTTACCGATTTCACGAAACACGGTGAATAACGAACCTTTTTCACGGCTGCACGTGAAATAAAAATGGCAAAACACGTTGCACGAAAATAACTCTTTACCACCCTCTTAGAACAGTCCTGACTTCGATTGTCCTAAGACCACCCAGAGACATTACATAAGGGAGCTGCCATTTGATTTTTATGGGGGCTATGATGAAAAAATTTTGTTCTGCATTTTTTTTAGTTGTAATCTCTGTCCTGCCTTTTTATTTTTCACTCTATTCGGTCCTGCCTTTTTTTTTTAGTTTATCCTGACTTTTTTACATAAATTTCATCCTAGCCCCCCCCCCCCCCATAAAAATCAAATGGTAGCTCCCTAAATAACACATAGCTGAGAGGGTGATAGAACAGATTGTTACCCCGAGAAACATTGTCAACTGAGGCGAAGCCCTTGGCTGACAATGTCTTTTCGAGGGGTAACAATCTGCTCGATCTATCACCCTCTCAGATATGCGTTATTTTATTTATTATACCGAATGTTCTGTTATTACTGTCTATTAAATTTCAAATTCAAAGTAATAGACTATGTCGTCTTGTACATAACAATCATCCGTATTTATTAAAGCGAACACTTAAGCAAGCGTCTCCGTGAAGGGTAATAGAGTATTTGTCATGGGTTAGAGTAAATTGTCTCCCTCGTATTAACCAATCAAAATCTGGCATTTTCACATGAAGTATAATAAATATATATGTCTCTGCCTCAGTCAAGGATTTTTTTGCCTATTTAAAAATACTACCACTTGTAAAGATTATGTGCGATATCTTTTCGATATTTGAATTATTGTCACTAGATATATATCATAAGATTTGACATTACTGGATTAGGTGTTAACACCACTAATTCGAGCCAAGATAGAACATAAATGTATAGAAGGAATCCATGTAGAAGCGTCAAGAAGCGACGAGAAAAAATAATTAAATGACAAGAAAAATTAATTTAGCGACAAGAAACTAAATTTAGCATCAAAATATTTAAATAATGATTACTTGAAATAAATATATATAGAAACATGCATTAAAGAGTGTGTGGCTTTATTTTAAATATACTCGGATTTTCATTATTTCATGATACTGAGAGAAGAACATAAATATTTGTTCAATTAATCTATAAATCGTTTTTTTAACCGGATCTCCGAAGAAAAAATTGATTTGGGGATGTACGGCAGGCGGGCATCCGGGCTGCCAGACAGTGTCCGTGCCTTTACTCATGAACCGTTCAACCAAAGCTTTTCAAATTTTAATATGTTGTTACTGATGACAAAATGGAGGTCAAGTTCGATATTGACGATTTTCACTTTCACCGTCCAGGAGTTATGTTTCTTGAAAGATTGAAAAATGGTGTTTCCAGTCGTGCCCGTACTTTAACTCATGAACCGTTCAACCAATGCTTTTCAAATTTTAATATATTGTTACTGATGACAAAATAGAGGTCAAGTTTGATATTGACGATTTTCACTTTCACCGTTCAAAAGGCAGCAGTTTTTGTTCTTGCAAGATTGCAAAATGGTGTTTTCAGTTGTGTCCTTGCTTTAACTCATGGACCGTTCAACCAAAGCTTTTCAAATTTTAATATGTTGTTACTGATGACAAAATGGAGGTCATTACGACAAGTTCAATATTGATGATTGTCACTTTTACCGTTCAGGAGTTATGGTCCTTGTGATGTTGAAAAATGCCAGGCCACTAATAAATGTAAAAAAAACCCGGTTTGCTGCCACTCTGACAGCTCTTGTGTTATTTATTATCAATGATATGTCTAAATAGATATACTTTCAGTTGACAGTTTAGTGTATAAATCAAGGAATCGATTATATGTAGAGTCGGTATGGGTTCAAACCAAAGTTATAAGGAATCTAATCTTTACTTTTTCCACTAAAAAGGTCCATATATTTAAAAATTTATATATAGGAGGGGACATGCGATTGTTGCAAAATGTCCAGATTGATATATACTTTAAAATAGTGTAATAAAATAATGTTTACCAGGATTAGTCTATTATATACTAAGTTAGTCCTGTGTTTACACAAATTCATTACAAGACGTACGTAGTGCAACTAAATAGCTTGTAATGATTCTCTGGCCATGATATCTTAAAAATCCTGGGTGAGAGGTGAAATTCTCGGGTGTTACCCGCAGGATACGGGTCAGTTAATAGGTATGACCCATCTGGAATGCAACTCTGAATCTATGCAGATTCACGTCAACAGTTTAGTTGAAAATACCAAACAATACTGAACTTATCGTAGGGGTTTCAAAAGAGGGACAATAACACCTGGTAAGAGGAAGAGTTAAACTTATCTTAAAAATGATTGGAAATGATTTTGTGTGTACTTTCCACCGATTTTTTTTTTTGTCCTTTCATGAATTTCTGTATTTAAAGAAAAATTCTAAGTAAAAAAGAATCGAGGAAAATATATTTTTTTACTTAAAGTTATGCCAAGAACAGCATTTTGTTTTCTTTCATTGAAATGGTTCCTCTCCGAGGTAAAGTAAACAATATAGAAAAATCAACCAGGTGATCATATGAGCGAAATTTGGCAAGCAGCACAGCATCGCAATGAGATTGGATAGCGCTGGGGTCTGTCCAATAGAACAGCGTTGAAGTGCGATACGTTAATGATGCAGCGTTAAAACAGACTGGGAAGAAACACGGCTTGGTGCAATTAAAATCAGGCCGATGGTTTTTCTCGTTTAGGGTATGGATTTTGCTCATTGTTGAAAGCCGTACGGTGACCTATAACTGCTTACATTCACAGTATTTTGACTCTAGTTGGTACTGATTTCATTGCCAATCATACAACATTTTACAAAGACTAAAAAATGCAGATTGTTTCGTACACAACTGAGTAACTTGTACCGGTAATTTGAAAAAATAATCCATATTGAGATGTGCGAACATTATGCGAAATTGCAGGAAGAGTTGATTACACAAAGTTGGTAGTGTCTTGAGAAAATTTTGATAAAAAATTTAATAAGTTCAGAAGTCTGACAAGAATCAATTAAACAGCAAATCAGCAACACATAAGAAAATGCCTAAGGGTTATTTTTGAACATGTGTCGATAACAATTGCTGTCCCCTTAGACTTTAGTAGATATGCCGTGCCATATCTGTGACTGTGTCAACAATTTTTAGAAAATTTCTCTCAGACTGGCTTCTTCGATGTCGGGCCAAATATTACTTTCTGACATTATGTGATCTATCATTCAGAAACAAGATCGGGATCGTTTTTAATTACTATAAACTAGGCCGCTTTCATTTATAATTGGCGTACATACTGATAGCCATCTGGCTGGTTTCAGCCTACCAAGATCGATCTCATTTTTATTTCATGGTTCGTTGTTAAGTTTTTTGCGGTTCGTTTCTTTTTACATAGTTTTAGTAGATCAACTTTAGTTGGTGTATCAGTGCCACAACACCCCTGTGAATATATAACTTGACAGTACTAATCAAAGTACTGAAGAACTGAACATCGGATGACCGCAGGTTCTTGTGGATGGTCAAAAGCACATGTCACAGAAACAGATCACATCTCTATACCTGAAACTGAGGTTAATTTACAGAGAATTTTTTTCTGATACAAGTTGGTGCTTGGATGATGAATAAATGACAGGAAATTCAACCTCACCGTAATAACTATTATATTGTAGTGATACAAATCAGTATACCTTGGACTATTATACTTATCTGATAATAGTCCCAGAGAATACACTGGTTTGTTGTTATATATTATATTAATATTACGGTTGCATGTATATATAATTTTCATCTATTTGTATATCATTCTATTCTACTATTATTATAGTGCAGTGCAAGTGCATGGTGGACACTCTTCTGTAAAAAAATCAAAGCCTTAAAGACTGTTAAAGCAATTGCTGCTATGTTAATGTTTTGGGGACTTTTATTTTTTATCC